CCCCCCCCCCCCCCCCCCGCATTTTACTCGCATTTTAGACTCTGTTACTAACTGTATATCTGTAGACTTGGTATGTCTTAAATGTCCGGTTAGGATGTATTAGAACGAAATCTAAAATGAAAATTGTAAACAAGCAATCTGTATGTAAAAAAACCACCTGTATGTAAATTGTAAATAAGCCATCTGTATGTCAAATATGTCTTATATGTCTTAAATGACATGATGAATTGGAAATGGGGGACCCTGATGTAAACAAGACGAAAGTCTTTCTCTGGTCTGCATCCCCTTAACAATTGTATGTTTTGAGCTGTACTGTACTGTACCCAATATACAAGCTGTTAATAAACTTTTCAATCAATCAATCAATCAATCAATCATGCAAGGTGACTCTTACCGGGTTCTAAGTTGTATTACATATTATTGGTGAAACATTAATCTGTGAACATCACATAGGCCTGCATGTTGCAGTGAATAGCATAAATAATAATTGCTTAGTTCATATTTTCTATCAAAAGTCTCAATCTGCAGATAAATAAATGTGGTGGGGTAAAAATACATTTTTTTATTCTCAAAATGTAGTAGAATCTAATCATTCTTCAAAATAATAAAACAATCCGCATTTTTGTTTCCCAGGAACGATTTGTGTCCTTGTTTCTTTTCCATTCATTTTCAACCCATGCCTGGCCTGTAACGACAGCACTCCTCCGTGGGCTCAAATACTTTACTTCTCGCCCTTCATCATCATCTTCCAGATTGGATGGGCAGCCACTCAGATCTCTCACCTCTCCCTCATCCCGGGGGTCGTGTCCAGCGAGAGTGACAGGGTGGAGCTCACCGCGTACAGGTGGGTGACGTCATCACGTAGACACTCGGGATTGAAAATGAACAAAAAACAAGTTTTATACCGACTTTTCCTTTTAAATTGTGTGTGTGTGTGTGTGTGTGTGTGTGTGTGTGTGTGTGTGGTCGGTTCGACCATTTTTTTGAAAAAAACTAAAGTTAGGCTACTGCTCCTCACGAAAACATTTTCCAACGTAACATCTCTTGCGTCTGTCAAAAACAGCTAAACTTTGGTTATGTATGAACTAAATAAACAATAGCTTGTTTATTATATAGTCCTATATATCCTATAGTATCCTGTAGGGGGGGTCTGGGGGCATTTTTTTTTTATATTGAAGTTAAATGCATCAATCTGGTGCACTTTGAGAGCAAAATTAAGAGATCTATGGATACATCTCTCAACACCCATATGAAACAGAACTGTAAACAGATGTACTTTTTCTTTATGGATATTTTACAAATCACTCCCCTTTTAAAGTGTATTGTATATGTTTTACTGTCATAGTATTTCATAACTGTTTTTCATTTATTCTCTTATTTTTTTATAACTATAATGATCATATGAAGGTGTGCCTCGGAAATAATTGTTTACATAAATCATGACCAAACCGTTTGAGACCCACTGAGATAACTTAGACTAAAGTTAACGATCTAAACACTCAGTCCTTTAGTTCACCTGAGTCACTCAGTCTGACAGGAGAGGACAATCTGTTAGTGCAGCTATAGCTAAATAGATACTAACAACACGGTCCCTGGCACGGTGTGCTCTCTCTCTCTCTCTCGCTCGCTTAATCACACTAATTGCGCGCCTGCCACATACACACACACACACACACACACACACACACACACACACACACACACACACACACACATAGAGCAGAGCTTGAATGAAACACAGAGACCCAGAAGTACTTGTTCTGTACTATGGCATATTATTTTCGAATCAATCATTTTTCAAATTATGAATTTCACACGTAAAAATTAAAAAGACATACATTTCTTGGGGTTGCTTGGGGGGTGCTATGGCTATCCTAGGGGGAGTTTCAGCGCACCCTTGGGCCGCCTATGCCAGACAGAGCCTGGCTAGCTGTTGAAAGGCTAGCCGTGTCCGGTTTTCATGCTAAACTAAGTAATAGATTACTGGCAGACCTACCAGACACAGGCCTGTGCCCCCCTGGCCTTCACCTCCAGAATGTCACTCGGAGACAAAAAATGACTTCAAAGACACAAAACAACTACACGGATAAAAACAGCTGCAAAGAGACTTACAAAACTACTAAAAGCTGAAAAAACAAACATGAAGTCATAGGCGGCTGGTGTGGCTCAGGATAAGGAAGGCTAATATTTGACTAACTTGTAATGTACTTGATGTTTGAAGCACCACAGAACACGCTATTGTGTTTATTTGCACCAACTGAACAACAATTACTCACAGCACAGGAGCCACTAGGGGCTGGATGTTTATATCAGGTGCCAACACATTTGTACTCAACAAAGGTTATTGCCAAAGGGCGCTAACAAATAACCACTATCTGAATAATGGTCACCACAGAAATGATCTGTGGATTTACTAAATTCGGTTGCTGTCTCATCTAAATTCTGAGAGCTGCAGTTTCACCTTATGAGGAATCTCTGATGCAGAATCAACCTTTTGTTGAAACACGCTGTCACATTTTTCTATTCAGGCGTCAAAGCTTGTGTGACTGCATGGTTCCTCTCTGATCAATTTGTTAACAGTGGAGCAAAGTTAAACTCCTTATCATTATGTCCTTTAGAACATTTCCTGGTGATTATACTGTACATAAGTTTGATAGAGCAACAACATTTGCAGTTCACAGTAAGCTTTAACAGTTCAGCAACGGTATCAGGAATAAATAGACAGATGTGGTAATGATGTCTGCAAAATGTTGTCAAATTCATCACATGAAAATGAACAGTTTTCAGACTGGAATATTTGTTATCGTTCTGTATCTGAAATCATGAGGGTAAATTCTTCCATCAAATCTTTTCTCTGGCTTCCTACCCAATCTCTCCTATTTCTTAGGTGCAACCCTCATCTCATTCACACCAAAATGCTGTCCAAACTATAAGACCAGGTGTAACAGTAAAACATAAAATGATATTCCTTTTTGTGTAGGTATGCCTTCACTGTGGTGGCCAATATCACCGTGTACAGTGTGGCCTGGCTGCTCTTTCACTTCCAGGCTCAGAACAATATGGACACCTCCATCTCGGATAGTGGGCAAGGTGGACATCCCCCTTTTCAGAGTAAGAGGATAGAGGCAGTCAGAGAGGTAACACACTTGTGCAATTATTGGGTTACTATTTTTACCTAATCTACCGCTCGCTGTCTGTAGACTCTGGCCCTGGTTATGCTGGCTACTGGAGCTTTATTCTCTATGGTATTCCACATCGGTACTAAAGAGGAGGTGACAGATTCAAGGAGTGAAAATCAGAGGATCCTACCATCAACCTCGCAGGAAGAGTCGCCTGGTCTTGTGTTTCAGTGGAAGCATTGGCTGAAGGAGCCGTCCTTCTACCAGGTGAGTCCAAAATCTGAGCGGCTGATTTTTGTTTGTGAATGTACTTTTCTTCCTCTCATACCCTGATCCATTAGCTTACATTCATTGCTCTATGTTGTGAAGTCTGCATTCATATTAGTTAAAGTTACACTTGCATTATTAGGTATTGCAGAATTGTCTAATTAAGCAAATCTAAACTTCGTCAAACGTGACTGGTTTTGGCTCGACGTCAAATCTCAAAATAGTACGATCACTGACCAAATTAACAACTCCAATGCAAAAAAACACTGAATGTCTTGTTAATTTGCGATGCAGTAAGATTAAAGAGAGTTCCAAACAATTTTTATATTTCCTAGAAAAAGAGTAAAAACCAAAAAAATGAATGAGTATAAAATGTGAAGCTGTGTATGCATACATTCAAAATGCTTAACACAAATGTCAATTCTGTTTTCTTTGTTGGATTTTGCACCAGGTGGCTTTTCTGTAGCCTACATGTGCACCAGGTTAATAGTCAACTTATCCCAGACCTACATCTCAGTTTACCTCACCAACTCACTGATGTTACCAAAGGTAAGATTACACAACTAATTGTGTGAATTAACGTCCGTGTAGAAAAATAAATAAAAAATGTCCTCTCTCTTCAGAACTACATTGCCATCATACCTCTAGTGATGTAGGCCTATGTCAGCGGCTTCGTTTTCTCTCTGGTTATGAAACCAGTCAGCAAGCGCATGGGAATCAGTGTGAGTCTCTACCTAACAAGATATATGTAACAACTCTGTTAACATGGTAGCCATAACTTTTGTTTTATTAACTCATGTCTGTTGCATGATACATTTGTGATTTGAGAGAAAGGTTGTATTGAAATTATGAATGTGTTTTGTCTCAGATTACCTATTTGGTCGGCCTGTTGTTGGTAGTTGGTTTCGCCGTCTGGCTGCTTGTGGACAAGAGCATGGGAGCTGAGACGATCTACGGAGCTGCTGTGCTGCTGGGATCCTGGTCATGTCCCTGTCCATGACGGCCACTCTCATCGGGGAGCAGACGGTAGGGATCCAACAGCACTTTATAGCTTTGTAGAAGAGTCCACAAGGTCCACAAATAATGAATTCCTCCTATATCCACAATATCTGTTGTTATCAAAAGGCTGATATTTCTTATTCCTCTGTCATAAAGCAATGGTTCTCAACTATTTCAGTTAGCGACCCCCACAAAAATAGTCATGTTGGTGTAAGCGCTTATGTAAATCTACTGATTGTTCATAAACTGTCTGCACATGTAGTGGTAAATGCAATAATGTGTGACTTCTGCTCGAGTAACATTTGCTTAACAGCCAGATGAATAAGGAAATAAGAGAGCACTTCATTAATTTGAATTGGGTTTTTACTAGTTTTAAAGATTTACACAAACAAAGGGGCTTGGGGATTGAGGACATAAACAGGATGGGAAAGTTGAAGTAGTGAGAGGGAGACATTGTTAGTGTTGATCATGTCTTGGGATTTGTTGGCCAAAGAAAATAGAATAATGCTAATCCATCAGAAAACAAATATTTAAAATCACATGCCACTTCAGAAGTAAATACAAAAGTCAGTTTTACTTCGAGGTTTAGGTTCAAGAGAAATGATTTCTAGATATATCTCGTCACAAGGCCAAACACAAACAGATACCTTCTTGTTTAAAATGTCACGTCATAATGGGCCAACCATGCAGTCACAGGAGAGTTAACTGAGGATCTTCAGTGTACTAAACCTGTGTTTTTATACTAAGAATATTTAACCAGTCCGTTCATTCTGGTGCCACCCGATCACAGTCATGTTGGAGGAAGCTTTTGTAAAGCTGTCAGCTGTGAAATTAAATGGGAGTGTTTGTAGTTGTTGGTTTGCATCAGAGCACTTTTTACTGCCTCTCATCCTTTTTCACTCACTCTGAAAATAATCGAATGTATGTTTTATTCACAGAGATATAATAATCTCCAAAATCTTTCTTGTTTGGCAGGGAAGTGCAGCCTTTGTTTATGGATCAATGAGCCTCACAGACAAGTTGGCAAATGGTCTTGGTGTCCTCCTCATCCAGAGTACACGGCCATGTGGGTGAGTCTCTCCTCCGCCATTTAGAAGGCCTTTCAACTGATTCTATGAAAACGTTTGAAGGAAGCTGCAGTAAAGGACAAGGCCCTTCACTACAGACTGATAAACCACTGTCTGTTTTTACTTCCCAAATATGACAGCTGTTTTACATGTGAATGGTCTCACAGTCCCTTAAAGCTGCAGTTCCTCACCTTTTTTCCCTTAAAGTGGACCCTTAAAGTGGACCTATCATGCTATATTTGAATAATATATTGTAGGGCCATACCTATATAAAACATGTCTGCAAATTTTCTTTTTCAAAATACCAAACAGATCACGCATTTTAGCCATGCCTCATTTCGCTATATTTGCTCTTTTTTAGCCCTGTTTTTGCAAGGGCTGAATCTGTGAGAAGTCTTCTTCGCTGCTTTTGTGGCAGACTACAGCGTCGAACGGCAATGGCCGTGGCTGTCTCCTCCTGATAGGTGGAGAGTTGCCCATATAGGCGGAGCTCCTCGTTTCTGACGTCAGAGATATTTCGAATCTGTATAATTCTGTATCAGATCCGTTGCAGCCCCGCTTTTAGAGATCAGGGTATGGAGGAAAAGAGAGAGGGTTGTGTTTTCTGACACTTGGTGAGTTCCCTGACACACCGGGGACACATATTCATGTATAAAAGACGTACAAAAGTGCATTTTGCATGATAGGTCCCCTTTAAGTTGAAGTAATATCTCCTTGTAGTAAATAAATATGCCTTTGTGTAGCGGAATTTCGTTTTTTTCTTAAGCCTTGTAACATACAGTACAGTATAAAACTAAAAAAGGCAATTTGAGAGGGCAGACATCTTTCAAGGTAGTTTCCGCAAGTGAAAGTCAAAAGTCAACACTGGTCTTTAAGTTAATTTGAAGTTTATGTGTCTTTATCTGGCCTTAGCTAGTCACCACAACACAGCGGTTTAATTAAGGACATCATTGTCTGTGAACTCGCAGTAAGGAATAACAGTTTGTCATTTGCGAATGATTAAAGCAGCATTTCTTAAAGATGTGAATGTTTCAATCACAGTATCCTCTCTGTGATTCAGATCCGTTCCAAAATGTAATGGGTTCTTTCTCGACCCATGCTTCACATTTCCACCAAGATTCATGAACGTCTGGCCAAATGGAAATTAATCAACAGTAAACAGAAACCATGACCTCCTAGGCTCAGTCAATAACATATTTGTTAAGATGTGAAACGATTCAAGCGGCTTTATTAATTGCTGTTGTGTCTACTTACATTTTAGCTGTTCTTTTATGTCAAAGTTTTACAAAAGCTTCACCCATTGTCTTTTTCTTTCTCTCTAACAGCACAGAGGCCTGCTGCCCAGACTGCATTTGGTTTTATCGTGACATCATGGTGTCGGTAAACGGGGGCGTGGGCATGGCTGCAGCACTGTGTCTGTGCACGATTCTATTCCGGCCAATCAGGATACGGAAAAGTTAGGGTTCAAAATCTGCACTACATTGATTGGTAGTGATTGTCTCATACCTGTGCACACGGAGAATACAAACTTTCCATAGATTTAATAACCTTACATAATATTGTCGTAGAGGCATGTGTTTAATCCTAGATCTTTCTTCAGATGTTTCTGTTTAAATCCAGTATTATAATATCAACTGAATACAAAGCACATTTGTCTTTAAGGTCTTACGATTGAAAAGCTTTTAAAATATTTTGACATCATGTCCTTGATCATTTTTGTTCTAATTATTTTGAAGCTTGGAAAGAAACTTTGCTGCTGGACAAGGGAAATGGTGTGGGGATAAGGCTATGCTACCACCTAGTGTATGAATTTGTAACTACAGTGCTTTCCCTCGAGGTCCGTGCAGGTTTTTAAGGAAAACACTGCAGGCTAAAACCTAGTATCTTTAATGAACTGATCAATTCTGAGATTTCGGGCTATATTGTTTCCATAGCACCTCCTTCAGACTACTTGAAAATAAACATCCAAAATACACATTGATGTCTAATGTCTATTTTTTTTTAAACTGTGTTCGTTTGTATCGATAGATGTCTCCTAATCTCACAAAGTTAGAAAAACTCCTCATTTGCATATTTAAACATAACATTGCAATATACTGGTAGCTTTATGGTGATATCTTTAAAGGATGTTTAACCGTATTCAACTGTTGTTTATTTTCTTCAAACTGAGTAGTACCTACTGTACTTTATGAAAGCTGTATCACATGGTACATTTATGACCATATATTCTTCAAATATATTCAGATGTCTAGAATAAATGTAGGAATTCAAGAAATGTAAATGTAGAGGTGATGAGACATATGTTTGTATACAGTGGTGTAAAGTAACTAAGTTAATTTACTCAAGTTCTGAACTTAAGTACAATTTTGAGATACTTGTGCTTTACTTGAGTTTTTGTTTATACTTTGTATTTCTACTTCACTACAATTTAGAGGTGGATTGTGTAATTGTACTAGATAGATAGATAGAATATCTTTAGTGACTTTCCAGATTTTGATTAATAATGTGAAATATAATCAACACTTAAATAAGACTTTAGTTACACCTGGAGTAAATTCACAAATACTCCGCAGTATACAAAGTAATTAAAACCAGCTTTTACCCGCTTTGATAACATCAATAATTATTATCAAAACATATAATATTATTCTGAAATAGACCAATCTGCACAATGAGTACTTTTTGATGCTGACATACTTTTGTACTTTTACTTCAGTAACATTTTGAATGCAGGACTTTTACTTGTAACATAGTATCTCTACACTCTGGTAGCCTACTTCTACTTTCACTATACAAGATTAGCTGTTTAAGAACTATTTCGTCTAGCGGTAGACTACGATGATAGTTGTTTCTAATGTATGGTTATATAATTTCTTTAATATGAAATCTTAATTGTCTCCAGTGTCTCTGTGTCCCTTTATGCTCTCTGTAAACCGCGGATAGCCCGCCCTCTGGCGGATGAGCCTCGGCGGTGTAGCGGTGCTGCGGTGGGACGGCGGGCCTCATCACCGCGGACAGGCGGGACAAAGCACTTGTTCAGTTCAGAGGCTGTAAAGGAAACCGTTGTCTCTCCGTCCGCCCGGTACAGCAGCTTAAAGTCGCGGCTTTAACGGTTAGATTACAAAGTCTCACTTTATTTTTAATATATCGCGGGACATTCATTTCCTGACGGCCGTTTTATTATTTTCTCAACTGTTCAAAACTTTAGGAAGAAGGAGAGTTTTGACAGGAAACGCTCTGACTGCTTTCTTTCCCCCTTCCTTGATCCTCAGGTAAGACAACATACACAGTTGAAACTAAAAGGTGATTTAAAACCAGTTTTATAAGTTATTATTCTTGAATAAACCTGTATTATTATTTTTGTATCAAGTGGTTTGAAGTCTTTTACCGTAAAAGTATCTGGGTGAAAGGAGTAACGGTGAACAGGTGGGACCCCTCTTTTCCCAAAGTAACGACAGTTAGATAACACCGTTATTGAGTTAGCGAGTCAGCTAGCTACAGGTTGTTAATGGTGATAGAGAACTCCGTTAGAACGATCTACCGGAACAAAACAAAGACATCAAGAAAACAGCAACGTTAGTCTACTATAGCTAATGGAAAATCTGATGACCTTTTGATTCAAGCCAAGTGCAGAGGTGGGAGAAGTACTCATATCTTGTACTGAAGAAAACGTACTAGTACCAGAGTGCAGCATAGTAGCATCAACATAAATGTTGATTACCAAAAGTTAAAGTACTTATGCAAATTAGCCCATTTCAGAATAATATATATTATATGATTTGATTATAATGATTGATGCATCAATGTGTTTATCAAAGCTGGTAAATGTGCAGCTGGTTTGAATGACTTTGTGAACTGCAGGGTAGCTTGTAAATGTGACTAGGTGAATATAAAGTCTTATTAATGAGTTGTTTATGTTTCACACTATTAATCCAAATGTGCAAAGTAACTAAGGGTATTAAATAAATATAGTGGAGTAAAAGTACACAATTTAACTGAAAATACTCAAGTAAAGTACGAGTCCCTCAAACTTGTTCTTAAGTACTTGAGGTAATGTACTTAGTATAAGCCTTACGGATCAATAACAAACACAAAGTAACCCAACAGTCCTAAAATAAGATAAATAAAAACTGCAGGTTCACAAGTAGTAATCCTTTTGGGATGAGTCTGAAGTTGATGTTAGAGTGTGTTTATATATTTTGTAGATTGTAAAGAGAAATTAGACACATAAAATGCTTTTTCCATCATTCTAATTCAACGATTGACTGTATAAACTGTAGTTTACTGGTTGGCACAATGTCTCATAATGAGAGTTTTGTGATATCGCTCAGGTGCCAGTTGTTCAGGTCCACCTCGTTCCACTACAGCAGCCCTGTAATAATCACTATATGAAGTAGCAGAATAGAATAGCATTTCATTATAGAGTAGAACATTATCTTTAGCTTGCCAAAACTTAGAAGCAACATTCTACATACAGTTTAGCCCTGTAAAATATATGATTGAGGACAGTTTATAAGTTAATAAAATACGTCCACTCAATACTTTCTTTTCATTCAGGTTTATTTAGATTTACATAATTAACCTTCAGTGATATTATTGGGTGAACAACATAATAAAAACTCTCTTAAGTGCTTCATAATACAGACCAACAACAACACCACAGTCTCTTAAAAGTCAGTTAAGTGGAATCAACATCTCATATTTTTTGAGTTTTTGCAACTGATAGCACAGCTTGTTATTTTCCACAATTTTGACTGACTTTTATACGGCCCAGGATATGTTTGGGCATGAAGTCTTGGCTGACTCCTGTGTGTATGCCAGTGGGCCCCAGCCTACATCAGGCAGGGGCCTAATTGTTTTTGACAGATGTGAGACATGTGACTGTATGAGTGGAATTCCATTATCAGCAGCAGATGATAGAGTCTCTGTGTTGTAGAGGAGCTCAGGCTGCGGCTGGTGGGTGTGGGACCTGACCTGTGACTCTGGTCCAAAACACTCCGCTTTCTGCCCAGCATGAAAATAAGATTTGTTATCCAGTTTTAGACAAACAACACTTTAGTACTACGACTACTGCTACTACTACTGTTTCTCCTACTATTGCTGCGATGCTTCTGCTTCAGAAAAAGTACACTTCACTTGTTTTAGGGAATATGCTAGTAAATAACCATAAAGCTTTGCCTTTACATAAAAGCAAATGTCCCATATAAGGTATTGTAGTTTTGTTGATCTTTACTATCGGTAGGACACCCTCACATATTTCTTGTCCAAGCACTGAGTCTACTGTTCTAACAAAACATATTTAAATGATTGATTCATCTGCAGGTCTTTTTTGAATAATTGATAACTTGGTCAATAAAATGTCAAAATATGATGAAAACTGCCATATAGCCCAGGTTAATGTCACAATTAGCTTTGTTTTATCCAACAAAAAGTCCAAAACCAAATGATTTTTCCTTAAAGGTGGGGTAGGTAAGTTTGAGAAACCGGCTCGAGATACACTTTTTGTTATAATCCATAGAATGCTCTTAACATCCCGATAGCAATGAATATCTTAAGTGCTTGCCTTTGACAAAAAATACATACAAAAATGTCATCTGTGGAAGCCGTAGCGCTGTAAAAAGCACGACCAATCATTTTAGCCGGCTCGGCTAAAATAACTGGATGGCCTACCTGCCTGTCAGCCTTCCATCTGTGCACAAACTTATCTCGTGCCCTCATTGGTAATGTGCGCGTTCGTGTGTGTTGGAGGAGGGGCTCTGTAAGGAAGTGGCAGATTTGTTCCGGCTGTGTATTTTCAAATTCTAGCGCACTCGAGCTGGTTACTCCAAAATGACCTACCCCACCTTTAACTATTACAATAAAACCGGATGTTTGGAATTATCTTTGAAAATCAGTTAAACCATTGCCGCTCTACTGTATGAGTAAAAAAAGCTGTCCATGTAATTTGTATATCCTAAAGAATATGACCCATATTAACCGTCTGCTACCTTTTAATAAAAAATCCTACTTTATTACATTGACAAAGATGCACTTGAAAAAACCCAGTTGGGGCTCCCAAAGTAGTCATTGTCCAGAATGTACAATTGTTTGGTCCTCAGTGTTATTTGGTTTCTCGGAAAGAGCCTGTGCCTCAGACTACTTCCAGCCACTTATTGATATAATCAAACACTGGCAGTAGAAATTACACTAAGACCTACTGGCTTAGGAGACAGCCTGTTGATCAACAATAAAGGACACATGACACCGCTGTATGCACAACATCCACCTGTCCTCCCCTCTCTGTGTTTCTCTCTCCTGCCCCCCCCCCCCACAGCAGCACAGAGGAGCCCTTGTTTGATCCTCCACAGACGGTGCCCCAATTTTCTTTGCTTTTTTTTCAACCCAAACTCCATGGCAACACTGTTCCCGTGACAAGCAGCCTTGACTTTTGCCCCTCCTGCTCCCGAAACAAAGGCAAGAAGTTATGGAGGGGGGAAGGAGAGTAGTGGGACAGGGGGATGAAGGATAAGGAGGAATGAGGGAGGGAATAATGGGAAGGTGTCTGGGATGGAGGCTCTGAGGCGAGACCTCTTCTTCTGTGTGTGCTAAAGACCCTTAAAGAGAGGAGAGTTATCACTGGAGACTGTGGGCAGTGCCAAGAACTGTGTCTCCGTCCGTCCGCCTGTATGTCTTCCTCTCCGAATGGTCGTTACCTCCCTCAAAAGTCAAAACCCCACCACGGTGGCTCAACAGGAGCACGATGTTAAGGTTTTGTTGAGGTTTCTTCAGTGCTGTGGGTTAGAAGATAGAGAGCACCTGCACATGTATTTCTTGATGATAAATCCATTAGCACTTCAAGTTAATAAATCAAAGGCTGTAACTAACAGCTTTAATACAAATCTAAAACTTGCATCCAATCGTTTAACATTGAAAACACAACTAATGAACTAACTTTGTCCCATTCATTTTTGGTAAATGAATTGATTGGTTGGCTCTAATGTTACAATAATACACAATGTCTATCCCAGTCTCTCAAAGGCCATGTCTTTACATGATTGTTTTTGCTACTAAAATCCAAAGATATTCACTTTATTATTCTGGGAAGAAACTGAGAAAAACAGGAAATCATGGTGCTCGAGAGGCAACAAACGGGAGCCATTTATGCACAAACAGTTGTTGCAGCATCAAAAATTGCTTGCATCAAAAGTAATAATTAGTTGCAATCCTAGGATTCATGTATCAGTCTGCCACAAGGACTCAGCATTGTGTTTATATCAGGTTGAAATTACAGTTGGCATAACAAGGAAAATAGGTATTAATGTTTCATATCTAACTTCTTGTCCTCTCCAGTAACTTCACCTGCTGATCACAAGCTTTTTCGTTCAAACATGCAAGCAATCCCCCCCTCGCTGTAGGACTCCATGTAGAAGAATGGGCATTGTTAAATTGTATAAACTGTGTCCCTGGATAAGATTTGTAGCGAGAAAGAAAACAAAAAAATAGCCAGAGGCGGGATGTGAAATGTTCAAAGTCTGGTTGGACATGGTGGGGGCTGAGAGGGACTCCTCCAGCCTGTGAAGAGGCAAAAAGGAATGTATTGTTGTTTTGCTGCCCTCTCCGTCCTGGTGCCGACATCTCCACTCTGACTTTGCTGGGTCAAAGACCTCTTTGCTTAAGGTCATTCATCTAATATTTCTATTTTCTGTTGATGTAGGAAAGCAGGTCTGATTTAGTTTATGATATGATCAAAATAAACGTTCTGCTCTTTGTAATTTACGCAACCTGACTGAAAGAAAAATACGCACAAACAAGCCTAACTTGTGCCCTCATAAATCACACTCCCTTGGAAATGGTAAAACATTTACACTGCTCTGTTACTACCTCTCATTACCAAAGACTGTCACGCCTAACTTTCCCATATCTCCACGTAGCATAGCTCATATCAGTGCTGCTGAAAAACAGAACGGGTTGGCTCTTTCCTTCTCTCTGGAGTACACTTTGCTCTCTCACGACTACCCGCAAACTTATTTGGTTTTGTTGTTTTTGGTTTACAGTTTGGGACATCTTTGAGCAATGTTTGACAAGCAGCAGTACGAGAGTCCACCTGTCTACAGTCCTCCCTTCAGTTCGCCATCCAACAACGGCTATGGCCCTCCAGGCAGCTTCCAGGGCCCTCAGAGTGATTACAACGCATACCCACCTCCACCAGGATCGTACTACATTGAGGACAAACCACAGCACTTCTACAAATGGCTGTCACCTCCGGGGATCATCAAAGCCATGATGGGTACGGTGATCGTGCTGTGTGTGGGCATATTTGCCTGCGTGGCCTCCACCCTCATGTGGGACATGCAGTACGGAATGGGAATGGGGTACGGCGGCAGTGGAGGCAGCTACGGCTCAGGATACGGTGGTGGTGGTTACGGTGGTGGTTACGGTGGTGGTTACGGAGGTGGTTACGGAGGAGGCTATGGAGGAGGCTACGGCAGTAACCATGGCTCCTACATCCAACCTTACTCAGCCAAAACCGCCATGATTGCCATGGCCGCCATTAATTTTATAGGGGCACTGTCTTTCTTTATCACAAGCTTCTCTAAATCCAACACGGTCCACACTAGGAAGTTCTTTCTGATCCTCCTGATAGCCAGCGTCATCATGGCTTTCCTCGAGGTGAGACTCATTCACATTTGATGGTGTCCTCATGTTTTTGTCATTTTACTTCTCTGTTATTTAGGGTGTCCAATCACTTTGTGTGGAGGACGCATACCATGTTTTGTTTACTTCCATATTATACACTCGAGTGGCAAGTCCACAAAGGCTTTAAATACACCAAACAATAAATACTGTGAAATCACATACAGCATACACAGAGAAATGTTTGCCTCTGTTTCAATTCTGCTGTCTTATACATAGTTCTACGTTGTAGGCCAAGGTGATTTAAAGTGATATGTGAATTACATTAGCAGCATCACAAAAGCATTTTCCTGCTTAAGCATCTCAACATTTCTATCTAATGTATCATCCTGATCAACAGAAAACTTATCTCTATCTCTGTTATGAACATTTTATTTATGTGCATGATTTCGAAAACCCCTGAATACCAGAAGTCTAATCTGAAACAGGACTGTGCACAGCTTCACTTTGTTCAGATCCCAGTGCTCTACTTGCTGAGTTAATTTAAACCATAAACCATATTTATGCTGAGTTAACATACTTTTGTTTGTTACACCTTATTTGTGCTCAGCAAATTCATCGTCTAAGGTGCTGTATAATAACGTTGAGAGTTTATAGCTGACAAAGTGTTATAACAGACTAAAATAATGCTAGATTAGAAAGAGTCTTTGAAGAACTTGTTGTACTGTACCATTTGTCAGTTACATGATGTTCAGACAAATACTTGATATGATTGTTGCTGAATGAGGGCTTTAAGATGATCTGACTGTGTTGCCGTAGTCATATTTGAACTGGGAGGGAGTGAGGTGCACTACTATAGGTCAATCTGAAAGATAAACTGATTTTCTGACTGTAAATATCAGTGACCGTCAATGCCTTTTTCCAGGGCATCATAAGCATTGTCTACATCGTCGGGGTGAACCCTATGGCCCAGGGCACCTCCAACATGATGTACAATCCCATGCTGATGATGTGCCAGAACCTCTACCAGACCAGCTACTCACAGATGGGAGGAGTGGGAGGCTTCCCCATCTACAACCAGTATCTCTACCATTACTGCTTTGTGGACCCACAGGAGGTGTGTAGATATAGATTCACTACAATGAATGTTACAAAATGCATACGGTTAACTTTGTTTGAGTAATGTTGCTGTTTAAATATGAGATCATCTGGACTCAAAAAGAGATGTATATTAGTCTCCCATATTACCAGTCCTGTATTGTTTACTAATCTGTAGTTATGAAGCATTTGTTACCTTTTGGGGTAAATCACATTACATTTGTTTTGATGTTCTTGCTCTTCTAGGGAGTTGCCATGGTGTGTGGATTTCTGGTCGTCATTGCCTTTGGTGTTGCTGCGTTTTTTGCACATAGAACAAGAGGGATGATCTGGCGCTACGGGAAACCAAACATTTACTGGGAAGAGCCTCTCGTTGGCGGAAAAGCTTCAGAGGGCAGAGACGTAGGGGAATGGGTAAGAGAATACAGGATAGTAGTAACATCATTGTTTTATTCGTGCAAAGGGCGGCACACAAAATCTTGGAAGTGACGTACAATACATAGGAATAGAGAGAAACTGGAATTTAGACAAAACAAAGTCCCAGTTTACTGGGTTAACATGGGATTTAGAAAAATCACTTTTTCAACCTTAACTGACCTTGAGTTTGTCCATGCAGTTTTAATCCAGCCTAAGGAAAGTTGATGTAATATAATGTTCTCCAACGGATTTGCTAAAAAGGTTAACCACTGTGTTTTTTCTGCGTCAGAGGTTCTACCACCAAAACTAAGTGACATGCTTTTCCCTATCCGTCCCCAGATTTGCTACCTGACAAAAATGTGTTTCCAACCATTTATTTTACATAAATAGTTTTATTGCAAAGTGAAGTCAGGTCATCAGTGACGCAGTAATCCTGGTACTCATCAGTTATAAAGATAGGTTGGATGATTGTGGTGCAGATAAGGAAAACTGCACATTGCCAAGGTTGTTATTGTTTTTGACCAAATGTGACCAGATGTTGTTTTCCTGTTCAAAACTCTCAATGTTTCAATTTGTGTGTGAGTTGAAAGTCCAGAAATGAGCATCATAACCAGATCTTTATGAGTTTATAGGTTCCAGCAGGGAAGCGGTCACATTACCGTTACAGTGTTTCCTCTGACTGAGTCACTTTGTTCAGGGTCAGAGCTGATAGAAGTCAGTGATTGTTTGCTCATGCTTTACTACCTGGTTTCACTCTGAGTAATGATTAACCACCGGAGAAGATAGAGGCAGGAGGTTTCTAGAGAGCCTCCCTTTTAGGGTTTTAAATATCAACATAGCTAGTCACGTGAGACTGTTACCTGTGATGCGGGTTGATTATTGATTGGAACTGCCACTTTTCAAATGATCCATGCAGTGAATGACAATAAGTTACAGGAGACCTATCATGATCAACTCTCTATTTCTGACTTTCTGTGAACCAGGTTTAAAACCCTAACACACCGTGCACTTTTTTCTTAGCAATTTTACTGTTTTGTAACTCAAAATATGTTCTTTCGAATATTTCCTTTCTGTTTTCTACATACTGTTGTCGCTCAGCATCCTCTCCAACACATTATGTCCACATCCAGTTCAAAAGGTTGCAAGGCATTGAGGGTAAAGAACACAAATCAATACACACAGACACGCGGCAAACAGTCCTTGCATGCCAATTGCAAAAGTGAAATATATGCAGATAAATAATACAGAATCTAAATTCCCTGATGTATGTTAGAAAGATATTACACAACACCTCTCACACGTTTAAAGGGGATACCATTTATTTTGCTTTAATAAGTAGTACACTTAAAGGAATCAGTTGTACGAGCTTAGCTCTATAAGCTAATCAAACTAGTCAAGGAAGGATGCAGAGAATGCTTCGAGTCACACTTTATCTAAGCACTAAATAGACATGCTGTTATATTTGATTATATAGAGCTGTTTGTTGTTGAGTGCTTGTCATTGCCTAGGACATGGCATCATGCACCCAGAGGTGAACAAGCAGAGCAGAGCAGACAAGAGCAGCCTGGAGTGAATCCTATGACTAACACTAGCGTTGGATAGTAGAGCCATGCTCACTGATGTCATCGTCTTATTGTAGGTAGTGGTACACTAATGATGTGTACACACATACATCATTTTTTAAATTCTTCTAAATATAAACCATTTGTAATACCGCTGTGATATAGAGATGTTTTGCAAGATAAAGGTTGGTTAAACGGCGTTTCCAAGAAGGTTAATCTTTGAAAAGTTTAGGGCTTTCAATACTTACAAACCAATCTTTATTCAAGCCCTCAAAGTTAAAAAAAATGTTTATAGTTAGGAAGGAACATATTTTAATTTGACTCTATGGACTCATATCTTTACAAGAGGTCAGACAACATGAGCCTTTATTGTATATTATTTGCATATTTTATATTTAGCCTCAATAAACCCCCTGTTCTTATTTCCAAGGCATTTTTTGTATTCCTGTGCTACCTGTGTACTGTATCTGTGCTACAGAATGAGTCATCAGGCTTGTTTGGCTCCTTTAAACACAGAGCCAGTGACAGGCTAAGGTTGTGGTAGCTCTAAGATTGGACCCATCTCTGCTGCTGAGCTCGGGCAGGCCTGGCATGCTCTGATGACCTCACACACTGGCTTCATTCAGCTCGAGGGGGGGGTGGCATTGTGTCTGCTGCATGAGGTCATCACAGCGGTTCCTGCAGGGCAGTCTTGTATGCTGGAAACACTGAAGTGCTGCACAGATGCTGAGTGAAAGCATCCTGGGCTCGCTTTGTGACGAGGAGTAGTGTAGAAATATCTAAATGTGATCAGCTTGACCAATATATACCATATCAAGTGGATTGAATATGTCTTCTGTTTTTACTTTGCTTTAAGTGTGATAAACCTCTCTAGTAAACCTGCTTATCTACAGTTGACTTAATTTGCCAGCTAGAGTTTTCAATACAGATGTTGCAGTCCAAGTTGGCATGTTTCACTTGTGATTGAAAAATACACCATTCTCTCTGTTTTAAATAATGGTGATAATGACAATCACTGCTGCTCCGGATAACTTGCTGTAAATACATTCTCACCAGTTTTGTAAGTGCATCATCTTTGGCGAAGCACATTCCTGCATTACGAGTGACATTGTAACTGTGCTTCTACACTCAGACGCTGCTGTGTTGCACACTGAGGGCGTTGTTAAGACACTTACAGGAAGTATAGTCTTCAAATCACGCCAGGCTTCTCCTGCAGTTGAATTGAAAGCAGCTCTCCCCCACACTGGAACTCCACCCATTATGATTATTGTTTTTTGGGGGTTAGGCTGATGCTCCCACACTGTGAGGAATTTAGGAGATTGCTTGTTCCACCCTTGTAAGCAGAAGGGTTTATAAATATTTGTGGAATAGTAAATGTTCACCTCTAAGCAGTATTTAACATCACCCCAAACATGCTCAGTGCTCTTTTATGTACAAATGCAGAAATGTTGTGCCTGATTTAAAACCTGCCTGCTTACTTATACAATAAATAATCTTAATTTAGGTCCGCTTTTTCTTGTGGGGGGGGGGGGGGGTCTCCATCTTTTTCACAATGTGTGATACATTTGAAAAACAACCCATGGGTTTTCTTCTTTATTTAAGCCAGTTAGCCTTGCATGTAGCAGAAAAACCCTTCACAGTTTAGACTTTACTGTAGAGGTTGTGTAAAAGGCCACTAATGATTGATCCAGTCACTGGACCCAGTGGTAGGGGGAGAAACAGTGACCACCCCCGAGGCCCTCATTGTGAGGAATTCCCTCATGCAGCACGTTTGGGCTCACAGGAAGGTCTTGAAAATACAGATTAAGGCGAACCTATTTACAGGTCGGACACAGTTTACTTTAGTTTGAAGAAAGAAAGGAGGAGCACATCCGTTCCAGGTGTTCACGATGACATAAGACCATAGAAAGAAGTGAAAGGAAAGCTGGAATAATAGTCAGATCGCTCTGTGTAAGAATGATATCCTCATGATTTATCTTGTAAGGTTATAAGACTCATAACAGTCGGAAAATATTAAGACAAGTCACTGTAAACAAGAATCTTCATCTCTATCCATCAATTTTTTTACACGATAAAGAACACCATTTATTTATTCATAGTGTTGGTTTGATTTTACAATTAGCCTTAAGGCATCCATTTTTATTTTTCTCTCGACCTTCTCAGGCACAGTGAACCAAATAGATAACCTCCATTTAGCTGAGGAGCTTTGACTGCTGTCCAATTACATGCCTGATGGCTTTAAGCAATCCATTACCCTGTTATTTTCTTTAGGAGTTAAGAAGTAAGGAAAAGAGGACAAAATGAATATATAAGAAACAGGATGTTCGTCATAAAATGAGGCTACAGCCTGACCTGATGTTTGTGAGGGGTTCATTTGTTTGTTTTTGTTTGCTGACTCTGTTCCTTCCGCTTTTTCCTGTCTGCTGTAGGTGAACAATGTGGAGGAAAGCCACAGTGTCCAAGACGCCCCTACGCTGCTGGTGTCAGAGAAGGGGGCCGGTCTGCTCAGCGCCTCAGCAAACAGTGTCATCTCCTACCCCCCCGCCAAGGTGGACAGCAGCTCCTACAATGAGGACACCCTCGACAACACAGTGTGAGTGAATCTGTATTCTTCCTCGTGTTGACAAATACTCCGTCACAAGTCACGATGAACATCTTCTGCACTGTGACGAGTGAAAAAGATGTGGGTGCTGTTTACTTACAAGAGGAATTTAAATCAGATTCATTGATTGCATTGTTAAAAGGGGCAAACACACCATAATATCGAGCTGTAGAGAGAAATGAATACGCTGTAGAGGACTGTTGGCTTCCAGCTACGCCGCTCTCACCTGTGTTGTTATATCAGACAGAATAGAAAAAGGAACAAATGACTGAAAAAAACGCTCTTTTTCAACATGTAAATAAAGTTTATCAGTCAATAACTATATTTATCCCCATTCGGTGTATTGGTATGGCAAAAATGGGATTTAGTTATAGTTTAGTTTCTTTGTTTATAGTGTCGTGGACAGTCCCCATTGATCAACTGTCACAAAAAACAGTAAATGCGGCAGCTTTAGCCGACATGGCTCATTTCCAGCTGTTGTCCCCGGCCAGTTGGTAATAGACACCCTTAAAATCCCAACATATCGACAGCATTATAAAAAAAGGATGAAAGACAATTAGATAAAGTCAAAAGGATAAACGAGAACAATAAACAACACACGATGCAATTATTCAGCACAAATAAAACCCAGGGCACAATACTTGGACCGATTAAAAGACAGTAAAAATACATAGTCAATTTAAAAGGGGAGATGACAGAGTGTATAAAGTTGTGTTTAATGTATTGATTTTAACTAGTGCGAGTTTGAGTTGGATTTCATACGGCTGTAACTGTAGATGTGACGGAAGGGAAGATTCACACAGGAAAGGAGGAAAAGCAAAGTAAATATCCCGCAGAGTACTTGTGCTGTGCCAGATATTTTCCTACAGACATTAACCACCTTATTGAGTACATTTGAACTTCAGAGAATGATACCAGCAGATAAAAGAAAAGTGAGCACAGACTCAATACAAATTGATTCAACTTTGACATCAGGGTCCGGTGAACCTGCATTTCAGACCGTTTCCTGAGACAGATTGCGCTTCACTCAGATAGCTACTAAGATCAATGAACATGGATCAATATGAGAAAGTGAAGGTAGCGAGTGGCCCCAAATCGCACTTGACTGTTTAAGATGAGTCCCCCTGAGGTTTAACAAGAAGACAAATAGAGGTGTAATAAGTAGGGCTGTCAATTTAACGCGTTAATAACGCGTTAACGCAAAAAAGAATTAACGCCACTAATTATTTTAACGCGATTAACGCATGTGTATTTTTTTTCCTCGGCCGCCCCGTAGTTTCAGAGCGCATCGAGTTTAAAATACCATCTACAAGCTGATGCTGACAGCCCCGCTCCTGCTGCCCGCTTGTGGCAGACCACACTTCCACGCTCACCGGCAGGCACAGCACGGATAGTGCGCAACATGATTGCAGCGTCCAGGCAGCTCCCGTTCGAGCATATGCCTTGAGTTGCACATAGCTCCAACGATCACACACACACACACACACACACACACACACACACACACACACACACACACACACACACACACACACACACACACACACACACACACACACACACACACACACACACACACACACACACACACACACACACACACACACACACACACACACACACACACACACACACACACACACACACACCATTTGTATTGTATTATTGAATGAGAGAGGTTCCAGGTTGATTTGAGGCGAATATTCGTAATGTTCAGAGGTTGTTGTGTTTAATATTCATGAGAATATTTGTCATTGTTCAAATGATAATAAACATTAGCATAAAGCATATTTGTCCACTCATATGTTGATAAGAGTATTAAAAACTTGAAAAATATTCCTCTAAGGTACATTACATTGCATTTAGCTGACGCTTTTATCCAAAGCGACTTACAATAAGTACATTCGACCAGGAAGACACAACCTTGAAGAAAACAGAATCATATAAGTACATCAGGTTTCATAGAGCCAAACATTTCAAGTGCTACTCCACTGGCTTTAGGTAAGCCAGTCCTTTATTAGTATAAAAGTGCTTCGTTAGTAGTTCTAACGCTCGAAGTGGAGTCGAAAGAGATGAGTTTTCAGTTTGCGCCGGAAGATGTGCAAGCTATCTGCCGTCCTGATGTCAATGGGGAGCTCATTCCACCATCTTGGAGCCAGGACAGCAAACCCACGTGTTTTTGCTGATGGGAACTTGGGTCCCCCTCGCAGCGAGGGCGCAACGAGTCGTTTGGCTGATGCAGAGCGTAGTGCACGCGCTGGGGTGTACGGTTTAACCATGTCCTGGATGTAGGAAGGGCCAGATCCATTCACAGCATGGTAAGCAAGTACCAGTGTCTTGAAGTGGATTCTAGCAGTTACCGGAAGCCAGTGAAGGGAGCGGAGGAGCGGAGTGGTGTGGGAGAATTTAGGAAGGTTGAAGACCAGATGAGCCGCTGCATTCTGGATGAGCTGCAGAGGTCGGATGGCACATGCAGGTAGACCAGCCAGGAGGGAGTTGCAGTAGTCTAGGCGTGAGATGACGAGAGCCTGGACCAGAACCTGAGTCGCTTTCTGAGTCAGCTGGGGACGTATCTTCCTGATGTTGTAAAGCGTGTATCTGCAGCAACGGGTTGTAGCAGCGATGTTTGCAGTGAAGGACAGGTTGTTATCTAGGGTCACACCCAGATTCCTTGCAGTCTGAGTCGGGGAAACAACTGAGGTGCCGATGTTGATTGTTAGGTCAAGAGTGGGGACAATCTTTTCCCGGGAGGAAGAGCAGCTCAGTCTTGTCAAGGTTGAGCTTGAGGTGGTGAGCAGACATGCACTGAGAGATGTCAGCTAGACAAGCAGAGATGCGTGCAACGACCTGGGTCTCTGAGCGGGGAAAGGACAGAATTAATTGGGTGTCATCAGCGTAGCAGTGGTAAGAAAAACCATGCGGGCTAATGACTGATCCGAGCGAGTTTGTGTACACGGAGAAGAGGAGGGGACCAAGAACAGAGCCCTGAGGGACCCCCGTAGTTAATTGACAAGGGTCGGACTCAGACCCTCTCCAAGTCACCCTGTAGGTACGGTCTTTGAGGTATGAGGTGAGGAGGGAAAGTGCAGAGCCTGAAACTCCAAGTTTTTGGAGAGTGCGAAGGAGGATCTGATGATTCACCGTGTCGAATGCGGCAGACAGGTCCAATAGGATGATGACAGAGGAGAGGGATGCAGTTTTGGCAGTGTGCAGTTCCTCCGTGACAGCAATGAGAGCAGTTTCTGTGGAGTGACCTGCCTTGAAACCAGACTTGTGCGGATCCAGAAGGTTGTTCTGATTGAGATAACAGGAGAGTTGTTTAAAGACAGCGCGTTCAAGTGATTTAGACAGGAACGGGAGGAGAGAGACAGGCCTGTAGTTTATAACATCAGACGGGTTGAGAGTGGGTTTATTTAGGAGAGGGTTTACTCTTGCCTCCTTGAGACTGTTTGGAAAGTGACCAGAAGTTAGAGAAGTGTTGATGAAATGGGTGAGAAACGGTAGAATATCAGGAGCGATAGTCTGAAGGAGGTTTGAAGGGATAGGGTCCAGAGGACAGGTGGTAGGGCGGGCAGAGGTAATGAGGGTAAGAACCTCACTTGGAGAGAGAGGGGAAAAGGAGGTAAGTGTGTTGGTGGAAGGAGGGTCTGGTGACCCAGCGGTGAGTAAAGGTGAGTCAGAAAAAGAAGAGCGAATATCATCAACCTTTTTTTCAAAGTGGGTAACAAAGTCGCTTGACAGAAGTGAGGAGGGGGGAGGAGCTTTTGGAGGGTCCAAGAGGGTGGAGAAGATGGAAAATAGTTTTTTCGGATTGGAATAGGAAGATTGGATCTTATCTTGAAAGAAAGTGCTTTTTGCCTGAGAGATCGAAGCAGAGAAAGAGGAGAGGAGAGCCTGATAGGTTAGGAGGTCGTCACGGTGTTTGGATTTCCACCATTTCCGCTCTGCTGCCCTAAGGACGGTTCTATTAGCACGCAGTGCATCATTTAGCCAGGGAGCAGGAGGGGACTGACGAGCCTGCCGAGATGTGAGAGGACAGAGCGAGTCCAGAGTGGATGAGAGAGTAGAGAGGAGAGTTTCTGCAGCAGAGTTTGGAGGCAGGAGATGGAACGAATCAGAGGATGGGAGGGCTGAGAGCACTGACGAGGCAAAGGTAGAGGGGGAGAGGGAGCGAAGGTTACGGCGGACAAGTGCAGGATGGGAAGAGATTAGTTTGTTATGTTTGGAAAGGGATAGAGAGAATGAAATGAAGAAGTGATCGGATGTGTGGAGCGGGTTTACAGAGAGGTTAGAAGTAGAGCAGTTCCTTGAGAATATGAGATCAAGGACATTGCCAGCTTTATGAGTCGGTGGGGACGGAGACAGTGAGAAAGCAAAGGCGGTTAACAGAGATGTTAGTTCGTCTATCTTCCCCGTCTGGAGGTTGAAGTCTCCGAGAAGTACAGCGGGAGGGCCAGTTTCAGGGATGAGTGAGAGGAGATTATCTAATTCCTCCAAGAAGTCCCCCAAGGCGCCTGGTGGACGGTAGAGAACAACAATGGTTAACTGTATAGGATGGGTTACTGTGACGGCATGGAATTCAAAGGTGGAAGGAGTGAAGTTAGGTAGCTTGAAGAGGGAAAAGCTCCATTTGGGAGATAGCAGGAGACCAGTGCCACCTCCTCTGCCAGTGGGTCTGGGTGTATGGGAGAAGGAATATGCAGTGGAGAGAGCTGCTGGGGTGGATGTGTTGGATGGAGTAATCCAGGTCTCAGTGAGAGCAAGGAAATCCAGAGACTGCAGGGAGGCGTAGCCAGAGATGAAGTCAGCCTTAGGAACAGCTGACTGGCAGTTCCACAGGCCACCTGAAACTAGATGTTGGATCTCAGTGGAGCACGTGGGATAGACGAGAGCAGGCCGGTTATATCGATTAGGAGATACACGGGGCCAGTGATAATTGCGAGAAGACACATGAACAGGAATGGAGAAAATACACATGATTATAGCATGAGGGGCTAGAAAACTAAAGAAAAGATAAATAAGACACCAGCTCGATCAGAGTAGGATTTGCCTCCTCTTTGCCTCCCTCGTGACTCCCGCAGGACTCCAATGTCTTTGTCAGTCTTACTCCCGCAGGACTCCAATGTCTTTGTCAGTCTTTGTCTGTCTGACGCTGAAGCTGACGCTCCAGGAAAGAGCTACCCAAAAATGGACGCCTGATTGCTCAGTTCACACAGCTGTAGGGCCACGGCCCTCTAATTAGTTAACTATCTACAGCTGATGGGCGACAGTAGACTGGCCGTGCCTATATTAATGCAGGCTTGAGTGCTGAGACCTGTAAAGCAGGTTTCGCCTGAGCAGATCTGAGATTTAAAATCTCTCAAACGCGATTTAGCCATTAAAGCTACAATAACAATTTATACAGAGTCGAATAAATGAAACAGAGAAGTCTAATTAAACAAGAATATAACTTACAGTGGTTGCTGCGTCAATAGGTAATGTCGTTACCGGGTCCAGATGCACACATACATTTAGAACAGATAAAAAATGTGCGATTAATCACGATTAACTATGGACAATCATGCGATTAATCGCGATTAAATATTTTAATCGACTGACAGCCCTAGTAATAAGACAAGAGTGCTCACAAGGATTTGATTTCAGAGTGAAACCAAAAATGTCATTGTTTTATTTGACTGTGTCTTTAAGAGATACTTAAGCTGTAAATCTCTTCCCAATTGGACAGATGTGTGGAGAGTCCAATAGTAGAAATAAAGCAGCTACAACATTTAACTCTGTATAGATACCACACAAACAACCAACCTCAAACATGTGTTACGTTCCCTCCAAGTCTAGGGGTACCAAGGGGAGTAACAAAACACAAGGATGACCAAGCACGACAAAAAACAGAGAAAACCGATCTCTGAAGTAACGAACAGGTCGTTTAATGAACAAGACAGGAACACGGGCTCACCAGCCAACTTGCACAAAATACTAAAGAATCGATATATCTAGGAGCACATCTCCTATCAATCGGCAAGACACAGTTTTGTACACATGCAGCCAGAGGAGGAAAAAGGAGGCCTCACTGCAGTCTACCTCCGGTCTCAGTTTGTTTGTTTTATTGCACAGTCAAGACATAACAATAACGGCATCACGCTGTTCCAGGTGTGTCGTATGCATGTAAATTGAAGTTAAATAAAAGTGTGAAATGTAAAATAAAGTGTAAGTAGTTTCAAAACAATGTAACAGTGGCAATATATATAGCAGCAGACACACCTTAGTGCAAGTTAGGTGTCAGTATTAAAAAACAGTGGCAATATATATATGTATAATAACAATAGAAAATCGTTACCACTCTTATTATTGTGGTCTTTAATTTTTTTATAGTCCTGCCTGAGTTTCTTTATTTTTTACCCGGCATCCGTGTGCACTGTGCACGATTCCCAGCTCAAGTAGCTTTTGCGAACATCGCTCAAAACATTTGGAGTTGGGAACTGCTTTCTGTAGAAGCTGCTGCATCCCGTCCTCAGAGTAAATTGCCAGAAGCGCCGACACTTCCTCTTCATTCCACCGCTCCGGTGTTGTAGTACGTGTGGTCATAACTGCTTTAAAGTACAACAAAACTACTCGCTCAGGTGTGGATGTGGTTTTGTAGCGAGGAAAAAAATGGCTGCCTAACAAAACAAATTCAGAGTCTAACGGGGCGTGGTTTGCAATTCGCCCAGCCAATAGAAATAGAATATAAATTGGCACTCTTTTATCACCAGGTTAGTACCACCTCTCTAGCAGGGACTAAAAATGGCCAAAAGAGTTCCAAAAGAGTTCCCGGCACTGAGTAGTCCCGGCGGTGTGAACGCGACATTATTGGTACTAACGGAACTAAAGAACCAAAGTACCAGGGAAAGTCCTGCGGTGTGAATGCGCCTTAGGGGTACCAAGGGGAGTAACAAAACACAAGGATGACCAAGCACGACAAAATAGAGAGAAAACCGATCTCTGAAGTAACGAACAGGTCGTTTAATGAACAAGACAGGAACACGGGCTCACCAGCCAACTTGCACAGAATACTAAAGAATCGATATATCTAGGAGCACATCTCCTATCAATCGGCAAGACACCGTTTTGTACACATGCAGCCAGAGGAGGAAAAAGGAGGCCTCATTGCAGTCTTCCTCCGGTCCTATATGGAGGCCCTGATTTGGAATTAGGAGCACCTGGGGAGAGGCTGCACCTGGGGACAATCAGGCTGCACTTGGGGAGTCAGAGGGAGAGAGAGAAAGACACACACACACCCACACAAACACTACGGCACGTAACACATGTGACTAACACAAGCAATATCTAATCACTGCTCTGGTTTAAAGCCCTTAAAAGCATGGCCCTGCCCACAAAATGAGCTCTGTTTGTGACCTTTGAGCCCTTGTTGGATTAACTTTCCCTGTTTTTTTTCTTCTGTTCATTAAAATCTCTGAGGAGAGAGAGAAAGCAGGATGTGTGTGAACAAATGTATTTGCTAGTTTCCAAAAGGTAGAAAGGATTTCTCAAGCACCATGTTTTTGTTTGCATTATTGTCTTAAAGTCTGCAGTGTGTGTAACCAAAAGTACATGGCTCTTCACAGTTTCTTACCATCTCTGATACTTTGAAAAAACCAGCCCAGCTAGTTTTAGAAAATATGCTCCTAATGACAAGGTGCACTGCAGTTTATGAACAGGATCTTGTTTTGTATCTATATCGACGCCGGGATCCGGAGTCGAGGCTGATCCTCTTGCTGTAGTCCTGTGTCTTGGATCCTCTATCCTGAGTTCTGGATTAAGTCGTGGACTTCGGGTCGTGGCTGAACCTGTCTCTGCGGTCCTGCCTTGGGTCTCGTCATGCTGCTTCCCTGATGGCTTCCACAGGATTGTAGCTGACATCCTCGTGGATTCATCTTCTTATTACAGACACATGCATTTCCTAACATTCGGTCTATATGCTGTAAAATGTATTATCTCTTCGATTTACACACGGCATCTATTGCACGTCTGTCCGTCCTGGGAGAGGGATCCCTCCTCTGTTGCTCTCCCTGAGGTTTCTCCCATTTTTTCCCCTTAAACTGTGGGTTTTCTCTGGAAGTTTTTCCTTGTACGATGTGAGGGTCTAAGGATAGAGGGTGTCGTTTTCTCATACTGATATTCTGAACAATCTGTGCCGTTGTATTTGCTGTAAAGTGTCTCTACTGTAGGCTATTTTTATTTTATGTACAGCACTTTGGCTCAACCAAAAATCGTTTATAAATGTGCTATATAAATAAAACTTGATTTGATTTGATTTTGATTTGATTTAGATCTGTTCCAATGTCCAGAATATTATTGAAATAATTTCCTTCTCTCGAAAAGTAAACATAGCTTGCATTTTCATAAGCAAAAGAATGTCAGGGTGCTCTGTTTTCTGAAAGAACTTGTAATATCCTTTACAAATCCCCTCAGACCTTCAACATTGAGCATGTTTCCTCCTCACATTATTAAAGAGCTGTACCTGCCTCCCGGTCACTGAGGGCCCTCTGCGTGGCATGGAGTCACTTTGTAGGGTGTGAGCCACAGTAATGATTAGTGGTTCAAAGTGTTCATTCCTTCATATCAGTTCATATTTGTTTTCTTTAGGCACTGTCTCACATCAGACCGTCCCTTAAGTTGTTATTTGGGTCATGATGTTCTTTTAGCATAAATTGGTTTATATGGTCAAGGGCATCGTTTCCACTGGGGAAGGGGAAATATTCCCCAACCTCCCCCACCACACACACACACACTGGGTTTTTCTTTTTATTATCTATCCTGTTTGAGCTTCTCTGTACTTGACATCGCTGTGAAAATGTTCTGTATAGAAACTCACTGCTAATAGACGCTAAGGGAACAGTATGCAGGGGGAGATTTGCTTGGCAATATTACATTGTTACACTCTAAACAGAAATCCAAGTATTAATATTGTATTTGAGAAATGACTACATTCATAATTATTCGAATGAAAGATGGAATCAAACTCCATCATTTGCAGTTCAAAAAAGGTTATAAATCACACTATATTGCAGTATGTTACTGAATGTTCAAAATTGCAATTATATTGTAAAAATAAGATATTGTGGGGCCTCTGGTGATCCCAAACCTAGGCAACAGTCAAATACACATTGCTTTCATTCTGACTATAAACGCCTGAATTTCCCCAAGGGGATAAATAAAGGTCCATCTTTTCTTATCTTATCTTATCTTTCAGTCAACAACCTAACCCTTTTAAGGTTTTATTTAGAATAATATCTCTCCTTTCCCGTTAACAAGACTTTCTGATCATGTTTTATTCTAAAGTGTCCATGTTTATGTTGCTGTCCTGCAGGTACTCGGAGAGGACCATCAGCAGACCATCTGAGGCGTACTCCCCCGGTGGAAGAATCAGCTCCAGCCCCTCAGAGGAGACCAGCGGGGGCCGCAAACCCTCGGCCAACCGGGGCAAGAGACGCAGACGTAACCCAGATATGGACGAGTCGCAGTATGAGACAGAGTACACCACAGGAGGAGAAACGGGCAATGAACTGGACGGAGAGGAGTGGGAGAAGTGAGAATGATTGTACTTTTTGTTTCTCTGAGCAGCTCATCCTTTGTCCGGATTAACGATGGAAATGTCTTTATCTAAGAACACTCAACGTAGATTGCCGTCGCTCCCTCAGGAGCAGACCTAAATTGTTGATTAAAATGAATGACTAAGCTTAGAAAACCAAGCACACATACACATAGTGACATCATTACCAGGAACATGCAGAAGAACATCTTTTGGATAGAAGTACAGAACAGTAAATAAACAGATGCTGAAACAGCATAGCATGGGAAAGGCTACAGTCTGTCCAGGAGAGTTAATCCTCCGAGGCATGCCAGTTCACATCGGCTGTGCTCAGGAATAATGAGAGAATTGGGCCAAAGGTACAAAACATGGGAGTCAATCTAGTTTATGAGGAAGCTGTTATGTTTAGCTGTAGTTCAATTCACTCAATGTATTTCTCCTTAATCTGAGCTCTGCGTTGCTTTGTTCAGCAGCAAATGTTTTTAAGTCTTTCTACACTCTTCTAAATAAGGGTTCAAGAAGAGTTCTTCCTGAAGGGCTGATAGGCTTCTGAAAACCCCTTATGAACAGTTCTTTAAGAGACTAATGGCTCAATTGATCAATTTGAAGTTAGTTAAAATATACAATATATGGAATTTAATTTGTTTGCCTTATCTGTAGAATACAATGTTTCTTTCAACATTCCTCAGGTAAAGAGGGTGATGTGGCCTTATGTATTTGTGAGCACCCTTTAAAGCTATAGCTAAGATGATTCGAGGTTTAGCCCTTTTATGAACCAGGTGGGCCATTTTGACAAGATCCTACCAGGAACCAAAACCAGTTCTCGTATGTGCGAAGACAAAGACATGCTTCTCAAAGTCAACTTTATTGTCAATCTCAAAATATGTTTGTACACACAGAAAGATCTAAATACAGTCCCACAGTCCCGAGGTATAAACAAACTCACACATTAAAATGCAAGAAGACTCAATCATTTACAAAAAAAACACAACCGTTTACAAGTAAGCAAGAATATATATATATATATATATATATATATAAAAAGAAGACGTACATAGTGCAAAAGGGAGTGCAAAATTGTCCATAGCAGCGTAAAAGTGACTGACTGGATCTTGTGCGTGTGGGGGGGGCGGGGGGTGTTAAAGTCCTGGTTCTAGTTAGCACCTTCATTGCTGATGCAGGTTGATCTCTCACCTCTTCATCTTTTTTACCTTCACCCCTCCTCCTCCTCCTCCTCCTCCTCCTCCTCCTCCTCCTCCTCCTCCTCCTCCTCCTCCTCCTCCTCTTCCTCCTCCTCCTCCTCCTCCTCCTCCTCCTCCTCCTCCTCCTCCTCCTCCTCCTCCTCCTCCTCCAGCACGTACCCAGACATAACTACTGATGATCAGCGTCATGAGTATAAGAGAGAGTTTGATGCCGACCTCAGGCGATACAAGCGCCTGTGTGCTGAGATGGACGACATTAACGATCAGTTGAACAAACTCAGCCGGCAGCTGGACACGCTGGATGAGACCTCTCCCAAATACCAGGTCAGATATACTCAGGGCTCACCTCCCACACTCACGAGGCAGGCGTGTTTGAGCCTAAACTGAGTCTCAGTTAGCATCAAAATGATATACAGAAATACAGGACTTTATTTGTTTATTAACTTCAGATTGTTTGTGAGGGACACAGAATCATAACAAATGTTTTTCCTATATTTCCACAGGCTGCAGCTGAGCAATATAACCAGCTGAAGGATCTGAAGCAGGTGGGGAGACTTCTCTGATGATACAATTAATAACAAGCCTCCATAATAAGCTAATTGTTATTTTCTTCATCATTAATAAGATGATTCTTTTTGTGGTTTGGTCTATAAATGGTCAAAAAAATGGTCAAATAAGCCACCCCATTTTCTCAAGGCGATGTTTTAAATATCTTAAGCATGAATAATTACTATTAATTGTTAATCAAACTAGTTTGTGGTTATTTTTCTGTTATCTGACTTGATTAGTATAATGAACTTTGACTTTTGGACCCACCACATCACACCATTTATTAAAAATGTATTGCATGTATTTTTGAAAGCATTACGTTCTTAACATCCAGCTTCACAATGACCTCATTAAGTTTTAATACATAAAATATATTTCTGAACCCTTTTCCCTGAATGTTTATCACAGCACTAATATCACTGTTTATTTGGAGCAGAAGAGCTTACATTTCCCCTGTCTAGTATTATTGAAATCCTTGTGTTAGTATTGTTTGCTTTGTATTATTTCTGACTTTTCTGCCGCCCTTCCTCCTCTGTAGACTTCAGATTACCAGACTAAGAAGAAAGAGTGTCGCAGCCTGAGACACAAGCTGTTCCACATCAAAGGCATGGTGAAGGACTACGACAAGAACCACTGATGAAGCCACTGAGTCCTGACACTCAGCTCTGACACCCACACACACACGGGCCAACACACACTCCAAAACAAAGACTCATGAGACATGCCGAGACCAAAGTTACCTGTACAGAGCCGACACATACACATAGGGAACATACTGTACGTTAATAATGATGATCGTGATCAGTTATGTATAAAGAAAACATGTTTTTGTCAAGAAATGGAAGCAGGGCGCTTAACTGTTGCCACTCCCACAGCAAACACTGCCTTTTCCAAAGATTCAGCTCATTGGTTTGAGTGGTCAGGATCAGAGGGTGTGGTCATTTGAAGGTCAGCTGACCTTCAGACACCTGTGATAACACTGCTCAGGCTCTGTTTGCGCTCCATTTTTCTTTGTTTTATCTCCTCAGATAAGATGTGGAAAAGTATTGAAGAGAACGTAGTGAAGGCTGAGACGAGGAGCGTGATTGTTTTGCAAACAGTATCTTTAACCCTTGGCATGGCGTTATCTTCGTCAAAAATTAACAACAATTGTGCTTTTCTCATCTTCTTTGTCAGTGTAACTCATTTTAACGTCAGTGAAGTAACTTGCTATCGGCCGGGACCATGTGTCTTCACTGTATTTTCTAAAACTAAGATTTTTATACTGATTATCATAGATGCACTGAGACCAAAAAGGGCACCAACCGGCCAGTGAGACTTGTTGTATTGTATATATTTCAAATGAATCACATTTAGAGTTATTAGATTTAGCAGATATTCTAGCATGTGTGATGACGTTATGTGTTTATTTGTACATAATCAAGACCCATAGTGGCATTTTTTAATCAAACAAGTTGTGCTTAAGCTATGCAAATTAGCTAAAAAAAAAATCAGCTGTTTTATTACATTTCTTATCATGTTCTTCAACAAACTAGAAAACACTGTTTCTGTGTATAAGCTACACTTACCAAAATGAAAAATGATCATCTGCTGATTCCATATGTGGTCATTTTTGTATTAATCCACTTCATGTTCAAAGTGTTTGGATCCTGTGTACGTTATAAAATTGCTCAGACACCCTTTTGATTTGTCATGCATTTGTATTTTTACGAAGAACTTTGTTATTTTACAAACCATTTGCAAACCATTTATTTTTGTATGGATTTATTTTCTTTGATGCTATTATAAGACCAATTTTTGTAACTGTACTTCCAAAAGGTATGATGTCTAAAAATGGTTGTGTTCAATAATAATAAACATTTCTAATTCTCTGAAAATGTATTAAACATGTCCCTTATTTTTTTAACAATTCATTCATGTTTTGCTGACCCTGCTGATTTTCAGATATCTGCAGCTTTGTGCATCTGCAGCGAGCGTCCAGCAGGGAGCAGGAAGACTTCAGGAAACGCCAATGATCCAATCACAGCCAGCTTAAGGTAAGCTGCTACTGCCCTCTTTTGGTAAACTACTTAAAATAAACTTTAACCAGAGCTGTTCAGCACAAGCATTTGCTGTGTCCAAATTCCTTAACTCACTACAATATGCACTTCTTATTTTTTTGTATTGGTATGTATACAAATTATCCTTAATGCACAATGCAACTTTGGAATGCCACTATCAATTCACCTACTCAAGAGAAAGCAGAGTGAAAGACTGAAATTACTTTATTTTTACTTTTTATTTTTGTAGCAGTTTCACCTTCATCTGTAATTTAGTTAAAGGTCACCTATTATGCAAAATCCACTTTTTCATGTCTTTTATACATAAGCATGTGTCCCCTCTGTGTAAAGAGATTCTGAAAGTTTCAGTACAAAAGATTCGCTCACTTTTTGTCCCGATCCATTTATATAAAAACCTGTCTGAAAATGAGCTGATCAGATTTTGGCCACTTTATGATGTCATAACGATTTTTTGGCTCGTGTGACCATTAGCCAATCACCAACCAAGGTAACACCCCCCCTCCTACCTTATCACCTGAATCTCCTCCTAGAGCACCATTGTGTTCTTTTTAACCAAATGTCTCTCAGAGGGGCGTGGGGAGGGGCTCCTTATTTTCATCTAAAGTAATAGACAGAGAATCAGCACTTTTGAAACAGGGCTGAAACAGAGGGGATTATGGGATACTACAATTATCTGTTTGGTATTTGCAGCCAAACACTTCAGAGACATGTTTTGTATATATCTGAAGCCTGTAATATATTGATGAGAAACAGTATAATTGGGGACCTTTAACATTTTTATCAGCTGGGTGAAGTTCCCCTGTTCCTCTTTTTTTGTCCATTATCCATCTGGCGGGCCGGTATCAGTGTCCTTATCCCAATCGAGGGTCAAAGGGCAGAAGGTGTGGTGTGCTGTACAGATCGGAAAGCCCCTTATAACGATTTTCAATTTGTGATATTAGAATTTAAAAACACAATTCACTTGTATGTGTAATGTTAAACTACGTCAAATATCAGAAAATTGAGCTTCAACTAACAATGCATTTAATCTGTTGTTGGTTTTTTAGTTTAATTAATAATTATATTTCAATTATAACAAAACAGAAAAGCACAAGCTCCACATATTGAAAGGCTGGAGCCAATGTATAGCTTTCATACTCAATTACACAAATCAATTAATTACTTTCAATAAAAAAATCTTGCCATGTGTTTCTTGATTTTTATGAATGTGTGCAGTTTTTCATGTCTCAGAAACTCAAGTCATCCACAAAAGGAATGGGCATACTTTTATTTATAACCAGTCATATTTTAGATTTGGCGTGGTCATAGAAACATGCCTCTTTTTAAAGTAAAGCTACACAATCAAATCACCATTGTTTATATTCCAACAAATAACACAAAGTGATTGAAGGACAGCACAAAGAGCTGTTAATGAGGTTGTTTGACCGCATCAGGGATTATTGTTGCCATTTTGTTTTAACGTGTAATACAACAATGTATACCAAAACAATTCCCCCCCCCATTCTCTTTTGTTTCAGTCATTCATTTGGCAAAAACAAGTGTCACATGCCAATAACAACCATGAATGTGACTACTTAGTACCCTTTATCTCAGTACCACAAACACCATAACCTTAACAACACTTACAAAACAAGTACCTTGCACAAGCATAATAATGAACTGAAGTGACCTCTGTCCACTTTAGGCCATGTTTTAACACACTACTTTTAAAGTAGACCACAACTTAGAAAGAAATGAAAAAGAGTATATCGAACTCTCGCGGTCTTCTTACATTAAGCATAACATCTCAAAACATTTTCAAATATATTTTGGCCAAGTCTGATGGTCAGACAAGTAGGGGATTATTTGTGTTTATTGTTGAAGATGCCTTGATCCCTTTATATTTATCTTTTGCACATGAATATATAATATTTGTCTTGTATAAAACATGAGGTAATAATGTAATAAAGAGAGATGTGACAGTGAGGAGCCAGGGTGTGTCTGAATACATTCACCTCCACTTCTTGTGGCGACATACGACATGAATGTATAATAAACTATAGCAAAGGAATAGCTCAACATGTAGGTAACACATGGTTATTTACTTTCTTGCAGAGAGAATGGTAAACATGGAGCTAAAGCCAAAAAACAGTAAGGTAACCTCCAGCACCTCCAAAACTCACTGATTAAGTTAAAGATCATTTGTTGAATCTGCTCAAATAATGTGTCAAATCACCAATTCTCAATTTTAAGGGGAAATATTTTTCTGACAGAAGAATACATGTAAATGAAAGAGCATCAGGGGGTTGGAGGGGTTCATTGTTTATCTTTGAGCAGAGCCAGGCTAGCTGTACCAGAATATCTGCTAAGCTACCTAGCTGCTGGCTGTAGCTTCATATTTATCATAGAGATACGTAAGTGCAATCAATCCTCTCATCTAAATCTGCAAGGAATTAAATAAGCACATTTTCTCAAAATGTTGAACTATTTCTTTACAGAAGTATATACAATACTTTACAGTAAAGTAAAATATACAATGCCAATGCCGCTTCTTTGTTTTAATGCTGTAGAAAGTTGAAACTGCGGTTTTTACAAACACATTTGGGAACAAAGTCTGCTCACTTAAAAAAAACTTGATCTGCGTGAAATGTCCCAGATATAGAGCTCTGCCTGTAGAAATGTCACTATGGCTTCATTTTGGCTTTTAAAAAACAGGGCAAACACAGAGCCTGGGTTCAAACTGAGTCTCTCCTTAGGGGTGATGTTGGATGAGGTAGTTCAGGCACATGGCCTCAAGATAGAGTCTGCGTTTCACTGAAAGCCTTGTGTTTTTATCCAGAATAAAACAGAGAGATCAGATGGAGGCCAGAGCAAAACTGACAAGTGCTGCAAACATATATATAAATATATGGTAAAGGATATTTACACATTTGTGGTTCTCTGAAAGCAGCTTTTTGGTGTGACTTTCACCAAACTTTAGAGATACTGTGGCAAAAAGCTGACCTTTACACTCACAAGCAAAGACCTTACGCGTCTAAGTTTGTATTCATAACATTCAGTTTGTCCTTTATATGTAATCTTTGTGAACTCTGAATCCTCCCAATCTGATCTCAGTCTGTCTCACACTGGAGTCACAAGGGCTCACTGTCCCGGTACGTAGGGCCAGCTGATGGAGCTCCCTGATAGCTGCATGTCTCGGATCAGTGTCTCGATGGGGGTCTTGCCCACCAGCCGCATGAAGAAGAGCTGGGAGATGAGGTTGGCAGGCACGGCGCGCAGAGCTGGAAGGCGCAGCAGTAATCGGCCGAAGCGCTGGGGCTGGTTTGGGTACTGCAACCTCTCGTACTCAGTAAGGGCGACCTGGGCCTTCTCCTGCAGGGACTCCACATGGGATGGGTCAGTCAGACCACATGCGTCTGTGAGGCAGAGAAAGAAAGATCAACATTCTGACATTTATTAGCACTCTTTTCTGTTAGCCCTGTTGTTGCATATTGTACACTTGTGGCTTATTTACCCATCTGGACATTTAAATATGAAATATGTTTTGGCCTTTTATAGGGATGCACGATATTGTTTTTTTTAAACCGATACCGATACCGATAACTTCCTGCTTCTCAAGACCGATACCGATAACCGATAATAATATAATATATATATATATTAAATGTACCTGTAGTTTTTGCACACCTGGTGGTAGTTTAGCAGCGCAGGCGTCTTCGTACGCTTTTAACACACCATCGTAGCGATGGCGATGTTTCAGGTGACAAATCAGGTTGGAAGTATTATAGCTCGTTGCCTTTTTCCCTCCTCGTGGAACTTCTGCATTGCATTTGTTAATACAAATAGCAAGCGAACTATCTAACTCTGAAACTTTGAAATAGTCCCATACTACCGGCGACATGTTTGTTTACTGTCCTGGCTTCACCGCATGGATGTATAATAAGAACTGGATACAGCGTGGGAGGCGGGGCCTCATTCATTCCTATGAGAGCTGCTCATTAGCACATGATGATAAAATGGCCCAACTTTTGAGAGAGTGAAACGTCACAGATTACCCAGCATGCCTGAGAAGTACCCGTATGTGCGCTCATAGAGCATGCGCAACTTTAACCAAAATGCTCGTTCACATTAAGCACGTCAATTTGCGTACGCGTAATAGAACCGTGCGTTCATGACAGCATGGTAATGGTTGTTGTTATCATGGATTTGATATGAACGAGGCGGCAGTTAGCAGCTAGCGGCTAGCTCGTAATGATGCTAATGTACACATCAATCGTTATGTACTTATATTACGCTGTAACAGGATCTAGTGATATCCAACAGAGCTTCATTTAGCATGAAATTATTATTGCACTGTATATATATATATATATTTATATACAGTGCAATAAGCTTCTTAGTGCAATACGAAGCTACAGGGACGTTAATAATGTCGGTAATATTAACTTTATTTAATACAACATTTACGGTACAAGATTTAATCATACAGCCCATGTATGATAATGAATTACAGCAAACATGTGCAATATATCCATTATTACAGCTCCGTGGGATGGCAGTAAGACGATATGGATCCGTTCTTATTGTGCATCCATGGGTAAAGATAAACGCAACTCACATTGGTTTCTCAAACAGCATCTCTGTAAACTACGTGTATTGACTGAATTTCACTCTGCCTTTAACGGCTCGTTGTAGCTCCAATAGCTCCAGCCCCCACCTTCCCTGGGAGCACAGTGTGCTCTGATTGGTCGGGACACGTAACATGAACGTGCCGGGCGGCGCGGTCCCGTGGGTTAGATGTGCGTTCATAATGCAGAGGGAAATAACTCTC